ACAAACAGACACACAGAGAGAGAGAGAGAGAGAGAGAGAGAGAGAGAGAGAGAGAGAGAGAGAGAGAGAGAGAGAGAGAGAGAGAGAGAGAGAGAGAGATTGCACGTTTTTGTTTTTGCGGGGGAAGCCACAATAGGTTATCTAGCTCGGAGTAGAAAGCAGCAGCACCTGGTAGTCCCATTCAGTCACATGCTGGAAGAGTCAGGGCGGTTGTCGGACATTTGTTGCTCGTTTGTTGGGCGGATGCCTAAGTGGAGCAGTGCTAAGCTGGAGAGACCACCTCCATACCTCTGAGCTGTTCTGCTTGCTACGTTTGGTGGTGGAGCGATCATGTATTGGTTATGCCCTGCTGGCAAGGAGAACCATCATTTAAGTAAGACCCTCTTCCTGTGCCCCCAGCACAACGCCGGTTGTAATGAGCGCATATAAAAGCTTTGTACCTTGACCCAATCAGGTCATAACAAGTATGAGGCATTGTGATCGGGGGAGGAAGAAGAAAAGATGTTGACCGATGATGCATAATGTAGGTGGTCTCATGAGCTTGGAGGGGGTTAATTGAATCGTCCTCCTCCTGGGTGATTTATTGGCCGAGGTACTTGGAGACACGACTGTCGACTGCATTTCACACTTTTGAATTGTGGTTGGGCTAGGATAACTTGGCCTTCGGCCGCCTGTTTCTCAGCCCACTCATTCAAAGCTATCTCCATTCCGTGCAAAGCAATGCTGGCCAGTAAAGGCATCGTAACTTGAGGCTCGCCAGAGTTGTATATATAACTTCGGTGGGAGCATGCATGAAAGACACCTGGAATGACAAACTCGTTCCGGGGACCATACCCTGTCGTGAAAGGAGATCACTGGATTTAGCCAATCCTTGGAAGATCTCCGGCTGCGACTCTGAGATGCAGTTGGGATACCAGACCAGACATCGCAAGGAAGGCAAGAAGAAATGACTTCTCTGTGTTCACGATGATCATATCCTGCCCAATGCTCTCTGTCTTGGCGGTATTTCAGACGTAACTACCGACTGTGTTTTGCAGTACCCGAGTCATGGGAGAAGTAAGTGGCTGAGGGTTGGGATTGTGTTGTCATCTTTCCATGTCCTGCCCAATGTTCGATATCTCGGCCTTATCTCATATGAGCTTGAGCTTTTCTTAATCGATGGTTTGTAGTGAGTTCGTTTATTGGCATGTGTGTATGCTGTCTATATAATCAGTATATCCTTTGTTGGTTCGGGCTTTTCTAACACGTATTTCTCATGATCTCACAGGTATACTGACACTGCTACTTGTGCGTTTGCCCTGGGTAGGATGAAGGGCCGCGAGTGAAGAAGGCGTTTGAAACATTAATGACCTACATTGGAAATATAGCCCGTTCACCAGGAGAGGAGAAGTTCCGCAAGATCCGCCTCGGAAATCCCTCGTTCCAGGTACGTCCATCTGTGTTCATGATCGACTGGTCTGCAATCAGGATGAACTGGAAGACTAGCAATTGAAAACTGGTGACTGAAAAGTTTACCAACAGGCTAAGCTCAGATGGTACACCTATGAATCGTTGAAATACAGACCAAAGATCAAAACCAGATGGAACTAGCAGAGTGAGATTCCTGAATTACCAGGGGCCAGTTAGTTGGACTGCAATATCTCAAAGCCATTGCCCTGTTCAGAGAAGAGGGGGGGGGGGGGAGAGGGAAGAACTGGGCTCGTGTTGCCGACTGAAAATTTTTGAAAACTGAGTTCCAGTGTGTGCAGTAGCAGTCGACACAAGGCTTGTCATTCGCGTATGGATAGACATGCGACCCTCACCACGAGGGGGCATATGGCAGCCTCACTGATGTCCTGTGTCCTTCAACCTGTGACAACTCAGGTGTACTAACACTTGGCTACAAATGGCAACCTGTGTCCTGTGTCCTTCGGTGATGTCCTGTGCCCTCCACTGATATCCTGTGTCCTTCGCTGATGTCCTGTGTCCACCAGCTAACCTCGCTGCATGCATCGTTTTGCATCCTGTAATTGCATGATACATGACACTGTGACATACCCTCGTCATCATTCTTGTCCACGTGCGCTGTGCGGGCGTGTGTAAGTGCCAGTGGTCGAGAATACCATTACGGGCGCACAGATGCTATCATACTGTTATGCTCAGCTGTTCTACGCATTTGGTGAAGGCAGCCATATTTCTGCCGGCTGACCCATTTAGCGAAGTTGACCCACAGTTAGTATGAGGCGGATAAGCAAACCATTCTGCTGCAGACGTGTTTGCTGCTCGTCAGTTCTTTGCTTGTTGAGAAGGGAGCATGCTGTGCAGCGACATTTTTAAAATAAATAGAAAGGCTGAAAACTTGTGAAAAGGAAATAAGAGACATAACAAAGGTAAGCATAACCAGAACAGAATTATCCCTTGTTATCAGAGTGTCGGGCATTGTTTTTTCTTGCTTTCTTTCTTTCTTTTGGTTGATTTGTTTTTCAGACTTGTCTTTTTTGGTGTGACCTGTTCTGGGGTGCATCAGTTGGGTCAATTTCTCAGTTGTGACGGGGGTTACAATGAAGTTGAATGAACCCGTTCTGCATACCACTCCCTGTAATTGGTGGAGGTTGTACTGATCCTTTACCTTCGTGTTCTTTTTCTCTGGCCAGTTTGCCTCGGAGCACTTGTAGCATTCCTTCCCAAACAAGTTGAGCCTAGCATCCTGCTGTGTACACTTATGACATGAGGTTCCCACTGTTGTCCTCACACCACTTCTTGGGCGCTGTCTTTCATCTGCATCCGGCACTCAGCAGAAGGATTTTGAACTTGTATGTACTGGAAATTTGGTGTGTGTGTGTGTGTGTGTGTGTGTGTGTGTGTGTGTGTGTGCTCGTGCTCCGCTTCTGTCATGTTGGATTAATTTTGGACTCATTCAATTTTATGGTTCGGCTGGGTGTCGCGGTGGCTCATTCTGCGTTGTATTCCGGGAACTTCCATTCGTGCTTTTTTTTTTTTTTCCCCTTCACACTTGTTGTGCTCTTCTGCCTGCAGAGGAGACATTTCTTTAAATTTGCTCTTGTAACAACATTGCTTTATATGGGCTCTTGTGACCACATTGCTTTTAATTGGCTCTTGTGACAACATTGCTTTAAATGGGCTCTTTCGAGTCTTTTCTCTGCAGAGTAAACTTTTTGTGCTCTTTTTTCTGCAGTCTTTGTCTCGATTCCTGTTCTCTGGTCTGCAATCTTTTGACAACGTTGTTTTAAATGGGCTGTTGTGCTGTATGTGAACAGGAGCGCGTGGGGAGCCTGGAAGGTGGGATTGATTTTCTGCAGCTTTGTGGGTTTGAGAAGCAGCCTGATGGGGAGTTCTTGGTGATGTCGAAGGAGCATGTCGACTTGATGCTTCTTCGTACGGCTGGAGGGGAATTGAACTCTGCCATTGTGAACCCCTTCTTTGGTGTTCTGTGAGTTTGAGAATTTGGGTAGCTGGGAGGGTGGTAGGGTGTTGAGGTTGTTTGTATACCCCAAAGTTTGAACACTGGTTAGTTTGTCTCATCACCGCATCCCTCAGTGAGAAATCTTGTACGAGAAAAATAATGTTCACAATTTTGAATGCGATCTTCTCTGACGTACCATCATCATACCTGACATTTGCCCCTATCGCTCCTGTGGCAGGTGGGATCTCCCTGCCATGTGGCTGTTCTCTCTCGGTGTGATAGCACTGTGCGGTTCGACAGCACCGCACGATGTGCAGGAGGTTCCTTGTTAATAGTTGTTATGAAAAGCGATGGCTAATCTTTGAATTTTGTACGATGACTGATCACAGCCGTGACTCGTTTCTGCATAGCTTCGGTGATGTTTGGAAGGTGAGCAATCATTCCGTGTTCGCTGACAGTATTGCGCTCCGTCTTTATCTAATCCTGTTTGGCCAAACCTATTGCTCCCGTATGAGTGGTGAAGTGCCGGGTTCGTTCATCTAGATTACCTATGGCGGGCTAGGAACCATCTCCATGCCCTCTTGTCAGGAGGGAACCCTCTCCATGCCCTCTTGTCAGGAGTCTCACATCTTCAGAACGGAAAGTTCGCTACCCTTAAAGATTGAACCCTTCATTTTGTCAGGGGTCTTGTACCTTTGGGAACAAAAACTTCTGCCCTTCTACGGATTCTGTGGTTCCTCTGAAGCATAGAGCGTCTGCCTGTCTTAATATAGGGAAGATCTGTCAAAGTGCACTTACTTATCGTGCCAAGCAGAGGCGAAGGGGGAGTGTTCAATTTGTGAGGGAGAAAGAGTAGACAGGTCGGCAATCCGTTCGTCCTCGTCTTCCTTGCCCTTGCCCTTTTTCCATTCTGACCATTGATGCCATACTCCTATGCTGAAAGGTATATCCCCCCCCTATTCGTCTGCGTTCTTGATGTCGTTGCTCCTGTCCTCCTTTCAGTCAGGCCCTCAGCATTGTGATTAGCCTCTTGCTGCTGCCCTCTTATCCTAATGTTTGTGACGCTCATTCTTCACTTCCCGTCCTCGTGCCCAAAGTGATCATTTCTTTATACTGAATGATTGCTGCGACTTTTTGGCTTCCGCATCACTCCCACCAGCACCACCACATGGATTTTTTCAACCCCTTGACTTTGTGGCGCATCTTCTTCCTCAGGCTATTATCCTTTTGCTTCCTCTCTCCTCCTCCTCCTTCCCTTGTCTCACTGTATTCTCACTATCCCTCTCTCTGTTTCCCTACGCTTTCTTCCTGCTCTCTTGCCATTTGTTATTTCTCTTTGACCTTTCTTACCTTTCTCTACGTGCCGCTGTTCTCACCTCTTCACCGTCTCTTCTGCCACCTCATCAATCCTCTTTTCCTCCGCATCAGTACATCTGACTTGTCGTTTATGAAGCTTCTCCTCTCTATCCTCGTGCTGCAGCTCCTCCGCACGCTGTTCTTCCTCTGGCTCATCCATCTTGTTGTTTTCCTCTCGTCTGTGGTCTGCTTTTTGAGGTATCTCTGTCCGCTGCTGCTCTTTTCTTCTGATCCTTCCCTACTTTGTCTTCGCTCCTCTTCTCCTCCTCCTTGTCCTTTGTTCCCCATCTCCTCAGCTTCCTCCTCCCTGGATGTGCTACCGTTGCTTCTTCCTTCCCGTACTCTCCTCTCTTTACTCTGTTACCTTTCCTAAGCGCACACAACCAAGGAATGCATCCTTTACTGTTTTCTTTGTTATCTGAATGTGGAACCAATGCACTCTCTTTATGTTGTTCTGGCCAGTGAGTTCAAACCACCAGTACACCCAGGTCTGGAGGCGCCTTACTTCGTGCCAGGCTTTTGCCAACCGCCAGCTGCGCACTTTCTTTTTTGGCTGGTGCCGCCAGCCATTGTGGTCTGGTAGGCCGAGCCTCTAAAATTTTTGTGTGTGACTGGTTGCATTTTCAGCAGGGCTGGGGCCGTGTACTGGTTGTTTAAACTGATGACCCCAACAGCTTCTTCCAAGGAAAGCCGAGTCCTTGTGATGGAGATGTTGTGGTGTGAAGTAATTGGACATCAGTGTGTGTGTGTGTGTGTGTGTGTGTGTGTGTGTGTGTGTGTGTGTGTGTGTGTGTGTGAGTGATCTGCGCAGTTCACGTGCATGCTGAATGGAGTGACTCCGTGTTCCGTTTCATGATTGTTCTACCCATAACCCATTCCTCATGACCTACTACCCATTACCAATTGGCCCATTTGCCTATTAGTCATTGACCCATTTGGCTATGTAGTATGTACCCATTCACCTGCTCGAGGTGTTTACTCGTTACCCACATATTTGTTACCCTACCCATTTGCCCACTACCCTATTTACCCATTTACCCATTTACCCATTTACCCATAAGTACCATTACCCATTTACCCATTTACTCGGAGATCTTTGTTAGCGAGATTCAAATTTGGAAATCCATACTAAGCTACTGATCCGACAACCTGTAGTGAAGGAACTTTCGGGCTTGCCACGAGATCCCACATATTCCGAAAGCATAGGGCGTGGCCAGCATCACGGAGTTTACATCGGAGGCCCTTGGACGTGGCAGCCTGTGACCGTTGCCATTTTGCTGCTTCAGTTTTGTGATAGCACCGGACCCTACCCCACCCCCAAAAAGGTGGGACACATGTTCTTCATTTTTGTTTTGACATAGTGGACGCAAAACTCGTCCAATTACATTCCCGTCCTCCACCTGCCCACAAACATTTCGCTACAATATGTGGAAAAGCGATGAAACCGTCGTCCCTGTGGGATGCAGAAAAACTTTCACAGGACATCCGGCCCGGCCCCCCTTTCTTAAGAACTTTTATGCACTTTTAGTTGAAAGTCACAAGTCGGATCAGACCCTAAGAGATCGAAATGCATCTGAAATTTCTGAATTACTATGTCCAATTGTGCTTCAACTGTTGGAGGAATGAACATTGCGTACTTACAGAATCTGTCTACCACAACCATGACTTGGTTGTTGCCAGTTCTACTTCTGGATAGACTAGGGAGTCTATAAGGAATCCCAAAAGGTTCTGGCGGGAAGGCTTCTTTCTCTGGTAGACATGATAAGTCCTTACATATATGATAACATCTTTTTCATTCTAGGCATTAGCATAGTTTTTCACTGTCCAAAATGTCATTCGGTATCATGACGCTCTTAGGCACTGCATGCCTTTGTACGCGATGCACATGGACATCGTGTAGTACGGCCCCATACTAGCATGATTTTTTTTTTTCGTCTGCGTTTTTACGCGCGTATGAAGTGATGCTGTGGGTAGATTAGAGCAGAGTACGACACGGAGCACGATCCCCGTACAGTGGAGTACAACGCATGTGCAGAAACTTCCAATATTCTGTACGGTGTACACAAGAGAGACCATGCTCCCAGGACAGTCTCATTTGCTAGGAATGTAGATTTGTTCTTGTCCGTACTGGTATGAAACAGCATGTTATTGGGTCTTTTTTTTGTGGTAAACATCAATGACGGGGAGTAGGGGAGGTGCTGAGAAGAGGAGACACCCCCTCTACTATCCCTGCTCGTTAGATGGCTCTGTTCCATTGGTGGGGAGCTGCACCTGCTGGAAAACGGGTCCAGCGTCCCTTTACACCATAGTAAGGAGCCAGATGATATGTTATATATGTCGTTACATAATTCCAGCTGACACATATCTTTAACTGCTATCATCTACCTCTATTGCATCAACATGCTAAAATTTTGCCTGTCCCTGCCACGTGGAAACAGCCAAGGCCTCAATTCCGGTGGTTCTCTTTAGCACTGCCGGGATAGTGGCCTTACAAAAAGGGCTTTTGTGTTTAAAAAAAATAAATAAAAAATTCAGCTGTTACATCCTGGCCTTCTGCAAGAGTGAAGCATCCCCGAGTCCCTCCTGGGTGGGTGTTGTCTTTTTTGATGGTAGATGACCAGCATTGATTGCCCTCAAATGAGAGGATTAACTACCCATCAGACTGCAATGTGGACTAACCCTTCCATAACAGCAGCTTGTCAATTCATGTAACCTTCTACAAAGCCCTGTTGAGATTGAGTCTTTACACCACTCCAATCCAGATAAACTCCCAGCTCAGCACACGGCAGTTCGCTATTGTTATATATGCATTATCAAAACGATGACCACCACCTGACTCAATTCAAGAATCTACCTAACAAACACCCCGCCCATTTCGATCATTGCACACACCAGATTGTTATATATGCATTATCAAAATGATAACCACCACCAGACTCAAAACAAGAATCTACCTAACAAATGCCCCGCCCATTTAGATCATTGCACACACCAGAGCGCAATCCTGAGGCTATTGACCGAGACCCCACTCAATCGCCAACGAACGTTCTTCAGAAAAACCCTAAGGGTGTGGGCGGTGTTGTGAATTCTAGCGATGGAAGAGGATCTTGCCCACAGGCAATGGGACAATGTCTCTCCACTTTCCCCGTTAGACCAAGCAGTGTAAGAGAGATCAGTTTGATCTCTCGTATTGAACTCGTTGAAATTCAAAGAAATTTACTAGACTTGTAGAGTATCAATAGTCTCAAATTCAAATTTAATCTCTTTCCAAACTTCACAAGCAGCAGCTAATTCAGGACTCCACTTGGTAGCCTCTACAATAATTTCATTACCTTCACGAGCTAAATCTCTTCCCCAAAATGAAATAAAGTCCCAAAGACCTATGATGGTAGTAAATATGGTTAACCGGATTAACATAACAAAAGCATAATGGTACACAAAGCCACTTTGAAGTGTACTTGTTTGCTTTGCTAATTTTGGAAATGTTGTGGAAATTCCATAGGGACCCAAAATGGAAACACGCATTTTGTTAACGCGAGTGAAAATGTCAAACCCATTTTAGAAGTAAGAAAAGTCAGAATCTCCGGAACCACCCAATTAGTCCCATCCATTATACCAAAGAGTCGTCAAGAAACCTTAGCTCTTCGGTGGATTCTTGAAGGCGCCTTGTGGAGAAGACGTTTGACAAAAAAAAACACAAGTTTAAGGGAGAGTATTACACTGTCATCTACCAAGCCATCCCCTGCAGCTACCCTTGCTTTGGCGATGAGAAAAGTGAACCTCGTGATATCAAATAGGCATCGAGGGAAAGAACATCACAATATTATTTGTTGTTATTTAGTTGTGATCATCTACTCAGGGAGGAAGATATTCCCTATGGAATACATCATTGTCATTATTGTGTAATTAGCAGCCTTGCGAGCTGCTCCCTGGGTGCCCAAAGATAGGCAGTACGTGCTGAGGTGGCAGAAACAGACCACTGCCCAATCCCGCCAGCTCATCTCCCAAAATTTAGACCACTATCCGTTCCCAGGGACCTTGCCCTCCGTCCCCAGAAACAGACCACCGCCCAATCCCGCCAGCACATCCGCAGGGAAGAAATTTGATGCACCGTAATAAGTGGAATTTGTCCTGCGTTCTTCGTCGCAACCTTCCGGGAGAGTGCAGGGTCCAGTTGATAGTTGCCACCCCAATCCTGCCTCTGGCTACTGCGGGGACCTTTGTCCGCCTCACAATGGGGGTCTGAAACCCCAGCGGCTGTCCCACCAAGTGCCTGACGCATCACCACCCCAACCGTGTCTTCTGCAGGTTCTGCG